CCCCCCGAAAAGGGGGCGTGTCACCTGTCACTTGATTGATGGTTACGTATATTACTCTCTAGTGATGTTTGACTTGACTGTCCTCCTGAAGCTTTCCCTTGTTTGGTTGTGGAAGCAGCCGCTTTAAGTTTTAAAAACTCTTCATATTCTAATTGTGTTTGCGTCTTCTTGGCTATCATCCTCAAATGGTACGTCTGCCACCGCTCCTTCAGCTGTATCTTTCTCCATCGCTTTTCACACTCTCACCCTCCTCCACAACACTCGCTACCGCTGCATGTGAATTCAGCGGTGTAGCAATGAAAACGGTCCGTGGTGAAACAGGACATTGGCGCGCATGTTCCAAGGTTTATAAAAACCGGTGTACTGAAAATTCATATCATAACAAAAATAAAAACCGGTTTTCGGTACAAAACGGTATACCGCCCAGCACTAATATATATATACAAACTCAGTTTCCTCATGAGCTCAGATTGGATCTGCAGGTTCTGATGGTCCTGCCTCACAGCACTGCAGAGGAACTGGTTCAGGTTTGACCCTCCTGGACCAGAACTCTGGGGGTTTCTCCTGGCCTCTCTGGTCCTGCTTCAGTTCACTGAAGGTTCTGCTCTGGAGGTCCAACAGATGGACCCACATCTGAGTCTAGAACCTGAACCGTTCAGCTCCTGACCCACAGAGTCCAGAACTGGAGTCTGAAGATCCAAACAGGCTCATGAAGCATGAGATGGTTTCTGTTTGACATTCATTAGTTTAAACAGGAGACCCCCTGAAGACCCTCAGTCCTGACCTTTGACCTGTCTGACCTCCTGCAGCTACAGATCTCTTAGATCCAGTGATCCTTTGCTCTTGGCTGTCCCACGGTCCAGACTGGTCCAGTCTGGTCCAGACTCTTCATGTCAGACAGTTTTTAAATCTTGTTTCTCTGTTTTTATGGTTTAATCTTTGTGTTTCTGTCAGTAAGACTTGTTTTTMCTTGTAACATGTGAAGCACTTTGGCCAACAGCAGTTGTTACATAAATAAAGTTGACCAGACTCTCTGACCCACAACAGAACCTCTCTGACCCGTCAGAACCCTCATGCTCAGGTTTGTCTGCAGAAACTGCACGAGGCTGGGATCCAGGTGCCAGAGGGTGGGAAACCAGGAGCTGGACCCCAGGAGGAGAACAAGACCCTGAAAGAGGAGCTGAAGACCCTGAAGACAGAGCTGGAGACCACCAAGAAAGGTGAGGAGGAAGACTGAAGGCTCAGAGGAGGACACTGATGTTCAGGCTGGACCATCTGAGTCCTCCTGAGACCCCCTGAGTCCTGTTGTTTGTGTTGCAGCTCTGCAGAAGTCAGACAGTGATGTTTGTGCCATGAAGAAACAGGCTGAGAACCTGACGCTGGAGTACGACCGACTGCTGGAGGAGCACAGCAAGCTGCTGGTACCCAGGACACGGGGACACCGGGGGACACCGGGGGACACCAGGGGACACTAGAAGGACACTAGGGGGACACTAGAAGGACACTAGGGGGACACTAGAAGGACACTAGGGGGACACTAGAAGGACACTAGGGGGAATACCCAAACACTGGCAGGGATGCAGGGGAAGAAATGAGCTCAAAGTTTATTATTAATGTTCCCTTTGATCAGTGATGGGTTTTTAGTCCCTGTTCTTTGTCTGCAGGATCAGGTTTTAGACCCTGTTCTTTGTCTGCAGGATCAGGTTTTAGTCCCTGTTCTTTGTCTGCAGGATCAGGTTTTAGTCCCTGTTCTTTGTCTGCAGGATCAGGTTTTAGACCCTGTTCTTTGTCTGCAGGATCAGGTTTTAGACCCTGTTCTTTGTCTGCAGGATCAGGTTTTAGTCCCTGTTCTTTGTCTGCAGGATCAGGTTTTAGTCCCTGTTCTTTGTCTGCAGGATCAGGTTTTAGTCCCTGTTCTTTGTCTGCAGGCGAGCAGCGATAAGAAGTCGGACTGAGGAGGATGAAGGTCGTGTCCATCTCGTCATCTTCATCACATCAGTCTGATGGTCTTCATGGTCCTGCTGGGCAACACGTCTGCGCTGTGATTGGATGATCAGGCTGTCTGTCAAACTCTCTTCCTGTTTACGTCTCTTATCTGAAGTGTTGATTTCTGACCTGCTCAGATTTTTGTTATTCTTTCTGTTTTTCTGCGAGGACACTTCCTGTTTCCTGTTTCCTGTTTCTGCAGAGCGAAGCTTTAATGTTTCTGCAGGAAGTGGTCAGCTTCCTTTCAAAATAAAAGCATCTTTTGTAACGTTTGACACTTTGCACAAGTTAAATAAAACGGATGGTTTGTACTGAAGTCTGAAGCTGTCTGGAGTTTAGTGGACCTGAGTGTTTGGATCAGAACCAGACTCTRGAGCCTGTTCTGGATCAGGTCTGGGGTTTGAAACTTGACAAACTGTATTTCTGTTGGTTGATCAGACTTTTATTGTGTTTGTAAGTCAGAATAAACAACATAAACAACAAACATGTTGTAGGCTTTTATTTCTCACCCTCTGGTTCTGGTTCTGGTTCTGGTTCTGGTTCCTCAGTTCCAGACGGGTCAGAATTGTCCTCCTCCTCTTCCTCGGTCTGAGTGGCAGCAGAGTCCGGTTTGAGCCGGTCTGCTGGGTCTCCCCAGCTGCTCAGCTTTCACAGCTGATCCGACCTGACCCGGGTCAGAACCGTTTTAGTCCGGTGGTATTTGAGTTTCATGGTTCTGATAGTTGCTGCTGTGCTGGATCAGGACCAGAAACATGTTTGGTTCTGTTTGTTGACAGGAGACCCCCCAGCTGTAAATAAACACATGTCCACAGCTGCAGCAGGGTCTGGTCCTGGTTCTATAAAAACCTGCTGACTGCTTCAGGGTCTGTTTCCTCTCAGGTTATCTGAGATCAGGTTGTGGAGGGACCAGGTCCAGGAGGGAAACCCAGACCTCCCCTCCAGTTTCTCCTGGAGGACCCCCAGGAGTTCCCAGACCAGAGAGGAAAGAAATCCTGCAGAGGGTTCTGGTGGGAGCAGAAGTCCTGGTTCAGGTCCAGACCATCACAGTACCACCACCATGCTTCAGTCTGGTCTCATGTCTATCAAACTCAACCTCCAAGTTCCCCCAACAAGGGTGGTCTGTAGTCTGTGGTCTGTGGTGGTCTTTGGTCTCTGATGGTCTTTGGTCTGTCATGGTCTGTAGTCTGTGGTGGTCTTTGGTCTCTGGTGGTCTGTAGTCTTTGGTCTGTCGTGGTCTGTAGTCTGTGGTGGTCTTTGGTCTGTGGTAGTCTGTAGTCTGTGGTGGTCTTTGGTCTGTGGTGGTCTGTAGTCTTTGGTCTGTGGTGGTCTGTAGTCTGTGGTGGTCTGTGGT